TTTTTTTTTTATTGTTATTTTTAATTGTACCCTTTCGATAAAATTTCTAAATCGTTCACTATTACAAGTAAATAATTTTGTATATACAAGTTGGTGATGGAGATATTTTGCCTACTTCATTCACGCCTGACTACCCCATTTGTGTGCCTACCCAACCTAGGTTCTTGTGAAGCAATAAAATACCATAAACTGATAAAAGTGATGGCCAACTAAAAAAATAATATTATATACACACACACCTGCAAATTAATTGACATATATATTATTTTAATTATACATGTTATTTTGTATCATTAGACCTAAAAACCTACATGGAGACAAGAGTTGGTTCTTTAGGGGTGATTGTTTATAAAATAATTTGTTCAAATGAATTATTTTGATTAATTATAATTAATTTTGAAAAATATGATATGATTAGTTGTTAATAAAATTTTAAGAATGTATTATAATAATATTTAAAATAAAATGATTAAAATTGATTTGATGTAAAAGTAGAAGATAAATGATTGGTAGTTAAAATTATGTGAGTGGATGAATAGTGAATTGAAGTTAATGTGATGTGTAAGAATGATTGATTTGTATTATTTAATTATATAAATAATATTAAAGATAGTGGAATTGAGTTAAAGTTGAGTTAAATTTTGAGTATGAGATAAATAAAAATGAAATAATTCATAAACAATCAAGCCCTTAGTCACAGTCCATTGACTATGCTTAGTGAAATATTGTGTAAAGATTGCTAAACATAGTGTCTTAATCTAAATAGTAAACTTAATTCTTTAATCCTATATATAGGATTTACATTTCACTTGTATTTATGTAAAATCATTTTTTCTTTTTCTTTTTGGCAAAGAGAATTTGGCCATGTGTACACCCATGTGTATGTACATTTATAACACATGTGATTTAGCATTCTTAAAGACGGCTGCAACCTGCAAGTTGATCAGGTCATGAGAAAATTGGTGAACAAGTAAGGAATATTCAATGGAATAAGAAGGGAAATACAGCTGGAAACTTTTCTTAACATCAATTCATTAACTTGCTTTCATATTAGCCTTATCCAAAATCTTTAATTACTTAGGGTGATAAATTATTATATTAATTTCAATAAAATTGTATATAAGTTAATGTTATGAAATACTATCTCCTATTCTTTTTAAATGTCATTTTAGCTTTATCAATTATTAACCAAAATAAATGTCCTTTTGGATCTTTTGTAAATATTTTTCCATTATTACCCTCATTTAGTTAATAAATACACTACGTCTTTTCATATTCTTTTTATTTTTTTTTTAAAACATCCATCTCTATCTTCATTAATGAGGGTTATTATTGGCAAAAAAATATTCTTAATTAGTGTGCAACTTCTCAAAACGACATTTATTATGAATAGGAGGGAGTATCATATTTTTTATGTTAATCTATATCTATATATATATATATATAAAGAGGTTGTTGGAAAAATACATTAATAGAAAATTTGACCAAATAAATATAATGTTTGATTTACTATTAATGGAAAGTTCAAAAAAACACATGTTTAGTAACAAAATCTAAATCCTATTTTTTTGGTAACAAATTTGGAGATTTTTTTTAATCCCATTTTTTCGTATCATATTTTATATTTTCTACCGAAATTTGAATTATATATTTTTTGATAACAAATTTGGAGATTCTTATGCAAAAAATATGTCAATTATTTATGAGAACAATTCTAAATACAAATTAATTTAAAAAACCGTGCAAACTGGATACAAATTTAGGAAACAAATTGTTGTATAATTCTTAACCAATTCATCCAATCTTATTGAATAATTTTTTTTTTTGAAAAAAATTGTGTAAATTGGATAAAGCCACGTGCAATTTTTATTTTAAAATAATATTGATATTTGGACGGGATGTACATTCAAAATTGTGTCCAAATTTTTTGGTAACAACAGCGGTTCATCATTGATAATTAAAGTCACCTTATCCAATTATTTAGGAAAAATTGTGTGCAACTTTTCAAAATTTAAATGCATCGATTTTTTTGGATTATTAAGTTTTTTCTTAACCATGTTTTACCGAGATTTTGGTAAGTTCATATCATTTTTTTTATTTTTTTTTTTGGTTAAGTCATATCATTTTCTTTAGGAAAGAGATAGTTGTATAAACATTAACAATTTATTTTAATTTTTTATTAGAATTATTTTCAATTCAATTTGTTTGGTATAAAAATCGGTGCAATGTTAGGAAAATTCGGTTGCATTTTTTAGAAAAAATTGATGATTTTTTTATTTGGTTTAAAAAAATTTCGGATCAATTTGTTTGATAAAAAATCAGTTTATGGGTAGGAAAATCGGTTTCATTTCGAGGAGTAACTAATGATTCTTTTCAATTTTTTTTAATTGACATTTAGAATTAGATTTAAAATAAATAATGGGTGAAAATTCTAAAAAAATCTACTCTTTTTTTTTACTTTAATTTTTTTTAATAAATAAGATCTTTTAATTTTTTTAAAATTTGTTAACTAATAACTAATAATATGCAATTTTGGATAAATTCCAACACTTATGTAGTATTTTACGTGCCAAAGAATCAAATCAATAATGTTGTATATAAGGAAGTGTTCAATAACATATAAATTTAATTTTCATGAAATTTTTAATGGCATGGGACAATTTAAATACAAAAATACCTTTCAAAAAATAAATGAGTAATAAATTTTCCCGTGCATCGCACGGGTACTCTACTAGTTTTTATAATATGACGGTTCAATTTAATAGTATACATATCTGATAAAAAAATATGATTGTCGAACTTGCCAGTAACTTTAATTGCTAATTATATATTTTGTAGGCCGAACTTTATTATGTATATGCAGATGCAATGTATGTTGTGATTTTAGGAAATACAATCAATACATGAGAATAACTCTCAAGTCTCTCTNACTCTCAAGTCTCAGTATATAAAGTTACTTTTTGTGAAGAAAAAAAGCGTAAATTAACAACAAAATTGCCAATTATTATTTATAGAAATGTACTATGAGTCATTATTTCGGATTCATGGCATTGTATATTGACATTTTTATATATAAATTTGGAGTCATTGGGTAGAGTCAACAAAAAATAATGGCTGTGGACCAATGTATAATATTATTCGTTGAGACATGAGTGTTGATGGGTCTATTTTTAATTTTTTTTAAAAAAAATTAGAGTTAAACATTAAATTGCTTAAAAATAAAATACTACAAATCAATTGTTAGTTTTATATGTATAACATTGATCAATAAAAATATATATTTTTATAGAAAAGTATGATATCTGCCATGCGTGACAAATTTTGACCCCATTTACCACCCGCTTTGTGTTTAGTCTGTATAATAATATATTATAGAATAGAAGAATTCCATCCAACCCACTAAAATAATTATAAAAAAAAATGTTTTATTATCCGAAAATTTTGACAGCTCCCATGTATAATAGAAGAATTCACTTGATTTTAAAATAAATGATCTTACAAGCTGGTGTGCGCAACTTTCAACATAAATTCTTATGTAAAACATCTAATTTGTATATCTGTCTAACAGTAAATTTTAATGAATTTTCAGTATTTGATTCTAGATTCAAAACAAATCAGATAATAGATTAAACAAGACAAATTCTTATGTAAGGCGATCGATTAACAAATTTGTCCAATAATAATCTTAATGCACTTTCAGTATTTGTTTCAAAATTCAAAACAAGAATCGAATAATAATTTAGACAAGACAAATTTCTATATGAGGTGGACTTATTGTAAATATGTTTAACAATAATCTTTAGTGAACTTATTCGAGATTCAAAACAAGAATGAGATAATAATGCCCATTTTAGTATATGAAGTTGGAAAAAGTAGAATATAGTATATAATAAGTTTTTACATTATTATTCCTCATATATATATATATGCTCATTATTATTATTTGACTCAAAATGGTGAGAATTTTTACTTGAGCCGCCGGCAACAAAGGTGAGCACCGTCTAGTCAGGCTTTTGTCATTATCTACACGAGTCCAGAAAATTAATTAAAAATNAAAAAGCACCATATTTAAGTTCACTTCATTTGGACCATTTTTTCAGCAAAAGTAAACACTCACGAAACCCATGCGAATCTTCCTCCTCTTGTGACTTCCTTGTCTGAAAGCTGAATTTCCCCTTTTTTCCTTTTTTTTTTCTTTTAAATTTTTTATGTCGACCGATAAATTACTAGCTAGTGCTGTGCTACTTCCATAGGACTTGAATATTTTTTTATTCAATAAAAAAAAATAAAAAATCATTCTATAACCGTAGTGAACGTTTTAATAAACCAACGATCAAGACTTTTCTTTCCAAATTGACTATCAAGAATTGAAGTTGAACAATCACCATATACTGTGAGCATGAAAAAAATTTAAGGGAGTAAGTAACAATGCCTATTTTTTTTTTTTTAATTTAAAAAACAACAAAACTTATCACTTCATAACAATGCCTAATTTTTTGGTACCGACAACTTCATGTCATACTGAGATTTTGAGTACGTGTTTTGTTAATTCTATAAATAACCAAATGCACATACATTATTAAACACTATCTACTTAGTATTAAAACACCACCAGACTCAAAACAAATTCGATTTAAGTGCATGTACCATAAAATTAACAACAATTATAATTATAATTATTATTAGTATTATTATTTTGACCAAAAACCTTCCTTAGTCAAACCTCCACCGTTTTGCATGACCCGTCCACGTGTCAATTGACCTTCCAAGTTTACAATTCCCTCCACCTCCTAAAAATATTAAAAACAGTGCGTCCAAACCAAAATGCGTAAGCAGTGACAGCATCACAAAACCTTTCCTCTCGCCACGTGTCCGCCCAAACCTTATCGCCACATGTCTTCTAGAACCTACCCTCCACGTGTCCCCTACCTCCCCCGCTGTATATATTTCCCCTCATTCCCATGCGTATTAATTTTCACAAATCCCCCTTTTCACCTCCNAAAAGAAAGAAAAAAGGAAAAAAAAGAAAAATCGAAGAAAAATGGGAGCCGTCGATCTTCAGCTGCCACCTGGCTTCCGATTCCACCCCACCGACGACGAGCTCGTGATGCATTACCTCTGCCGGAAATGCGCTTCCCTGTCGATCGCCGTCCCGATTATCGCCGAAATTGACCTCTACAAATACGACCCATGGGAGCTTCCTGGTAATTAACTCAAGCTAAAATAATTTAAAAAACACGCTTTATTAGTCAATTTGTGAATTGATTTCGATTAATTGAGCACATAATCGATTTTAAAAAACACGGTTTTATTGGGTTAATTCGTGAATTGATTTTTTGATTAATTGAGTACATAATTTCAGGCCTAGCGCTGTACGGGGAGAAGGAGTGGTACTTCTTTTCGCCGAGGGACCGGAAGTATCCGAACGGGTCGAGACCCAACCGGGCCGCGGGCCATGGGTATTGGAAGGCAACTGGGGCCGATAAGCCCATTGGGCACCCGAAGCCCGTTGGAATCAAGAAGGCCCTGGTTTTCTACTCTGGAAAGGCCCCTAAAGGGGAGAAGACCAATTGGATCATGCACGAGTACCGCCTTGCTGACGTGGACCGCTCGGCCCGTAAGAAGAACAACAGTCTTCGGGTGGGTTGGCAGTAAAGTAAATTTGTTTTATGGAGAAATTCACCAAAAAAATTTAAATATATAATTGAGTTTCAATTTTTAGTAGATGAAAATGATGGCGAGGGTGGAAAATAAAAAATGTGGAACATTGTGAATTTGTGATTCGATCTTATCTCTTTGAAGATTTAATGGCCATTTTGTCAAAAGATAATGATTGGTTGAAAATAAATAAATAAATAAAATCTGACGGTTGAGATTTGATCCGTACAGCTGGACGACTGGGTGCTGTGCCGCATCTACAACAAGAAGGGGACGATTGAGCCGCCGGCGGAGCCGAACGCGAGCAGCCACGACGTTGGGAGCGGGCTGACGTCGGAAGAGGACACGAAGCCCGTCATCCTGACGCCGGTGCCGGAGACGAGGCCGATGGTGTACGAGGACTTCTACTTCGGCCCGTCGGAATCCGTCCCGCGCCTGCACGGCGGCGGAGGCGGGCCCGCCTACTCAAGCTGCTCGGAGCACGTGCTGTCGCCGGAGGTTGAGAGCGCGCCGAAGCTCGGCGAGTGGGAGGGCTCGGCGCTCGACTTCCCTTTCGACTACATCGGCGCCGGCGCCGGTGACGCCGCCGTATCGCTGATGGGCCCGCAGTTCGCGGGGGGTTTTCAGCCGATGGAGCCGATGAGCGAGGTGTACGCGTACATGACCAAGCCGTTCTGAGGACGTGGGGCCCGCGCGCGTGGCACAGGAGACTCTTTGTTGTCGTTGGGTCTGTGAGTGTGCACGCGCGGCTCGGAGCGTTGGCACTGAGCGTAGTGGGGTTTAGTGTGTGGCTACAGTGGTTTATCATCTTTTTTAAGTGTTTTTTGTATTTAGATTAATT